CACAGCGGCCCCTGGAAGCAAAGGGGCCGCTGTGCGGTGCCCCGCTCCCTGCAGGGAGGCTTGTGGCAACCTGACAGCGCATTTCTAAGAGTCATTTTTTCAGTATTTAGGCCTGTATTATTTGTGTGTGTGTGGCCTAAGTCCTTCAAGGCTGCGAAAATAATCAGCTGCGTGCATGCTTGGAGCCAGTCCGTAGCGAGCCTGCTGTCTTCCAAAAGTTACCCTCGTGTTACTACTGGTGCAGCTCCACAGGAGATAGCAACTGAAGTGGCTGCCCAGATAAGGGTTTGTCAGGCTTGGCTGGTTTTTCTGAATAATTAACAATTGTTTGGAAATACCTTTGCAAATTGTATGCTGAATGGCTACTCACTCTCAGAATTTTAAAGTCTTGGGAGTAAGTTTGCACCGGTTTGCACAGCGCAGGGTTTGCTATGCACTGGTGCCTGAGCCTGCTTCCAGTTGACCCAGCAGTAATTGCTTTCTGGTATGGGAAGTAATTCCGTAATTCTGAGCACGTCGCTCTCTGATGTTTGCCACTGGCTGCAGAAACTGCAGCGTCTCAACTTCACTAGTGCCGAGGGTCAGAAAACACTATAAAATGTACAACGTTCTCTAATTGGAAGGGGGAATGGATTGTCTTCAGGCTTGCAGATTAAAAGATCCTCACTGAGTTGAGAGAATTAGCTCAGAAGGTCCATTTTTAATGAAATTCCCAATACCGAGTGCAAAGGCGATGTGCCCGAAGGGGATGACCTGCCTGCTAAGTCTCTTGGCCACTGGGATGGTGCCGCAATGTTGCAATTGCAGCAGTTGGAACTAAATTATTATAATCACAGACATCAGAGGTGGAAAATACATTCCAGGCCACCAGCATCTCTTGCTCTGCTAAATGACACCAGGCAGTTGGGCCTGCCTTACCCTCAGAAATGAAGCACCCTGACCAGTGCATGCTCCCGGAACACCCCATTGAATGGGGCAGCATCTTCCATTTTACAGCGCTGCAGGGCTGGGCTGAGAGCATCATCCAGGGAATCGGGTGGAGACAGGCCCAAATTCCACCCGCAGCAATAATCTGTAGCTGCAGTCCTGGGGAGAAAGCTGCTCCTGTTCAGAAGGGAATGGAGCAATGGAATTTGTAGAAATAGAGAAGTTTTGGGATGCGGTATCATACAGAGGGGGCTCAGCTGGAACACCTCTGACCACTTCTGCTGGAGCATTCCTCAGTATATACACTTGTGTGGAGCTTTAGGCTAAGGACACAGAACCAAAGGAGTGATTTGCCACAATAGCTACTCCCACCCCCAACAAGTCACTTCTCTGTGTGCCATTTTGACACATCTAGTACTTTTTTCTTTTTTTTTTGGTATTTTCAGTCATCTAAAAAGAGTCTTTTAATGAAGAACAAACATACGAAGTTAATAAGCGTAAGTAAAACAAGACTGAAGTCTTTGTTCTCCCTGCTCAGGATTTTTTTGGTTGTTGAAAATGAAAAACATCTTTTTGATCAGAGGTTTAGAGGTTCAAAATACTACTCATGACAGTGAACACAAAGGTCACATACATAACACACATTTCACACGCTGGAATCCCACTTCTACACTTGAACAGATGGCTTTCATTTTCTGCAAGGTATATGATACATAGCAAATTTTTAATGATGCCATCAGCGTTGATTTGTTGTGCTGAATGCCCTGAGAACACCATACAGCACGGTGATACGGAACTGGAAGAGAGAAAGGGGGAGAGAATTAGATCAATCCCATCCCTGCCTTAAAATGAAAAAGAGGAATTTTTGTAGGTGAGATGTGATTCCTGAATCCCTTTCCCAACTAACTTTCTTTCACCTTACAAATAAATCTTCCAGTAGTGTGGGCAAGAAATATTTGAAGAATCTATGGGAGAGGTTTCTGTGGACCAGTCAGCTGGTTTTAATCCGGGATGACCCCCCCCCCCGCTCCACTCCCCCACTCTTTCATTGTGAGCAGCATCCCCCATTTGTGCAGGGGGAAGAGAAGGGCCCCATGTCCCACATTTTTAGTAAAAATAGACAGCAGCTATTTTCTTTAGTCAGGCAAAGGGAAACCACAGCACTGGGTTCTTGGTCCTTCTGGTTTCTGGGCTGTGCCTTTTGAAATTGAAAGTTTCAGGCCCTTTCCCAGACTTGATGGTCTCTCTCCTGCTTCCCAGTGTCTGCACAGCGGTTCTGACACAGCCCGTTCGGCTGGAGCTGGGCTCGGTGGCAACAGTGGGCCCTAGGACACAGAGGGGGAAAATGAAGCCTGTTGCATAAGAAAGTGTTCCTTCCAGATGATGACTTGGCAAAACTGATGCCTCTGCAAGCCACATTATCAGGCTAGAAAGGCAAATTATAGACTGCAGGCATCCTAAAAAGCCTATTGTGTGGGTGTGTGGAGGGAAAAGAGAAAATTCCAGGAAAACCAAATTTTGGTCACTGTTGTCCATAGATAGTCAGCTTCCTGGCTTTGGCAAGAGAGAGCACAGCAATATTAAAAAAGGAAATTCCTTCAGAGTAAAAATTTTAAAACCTGATGGCCTCCAGACTTCCAGGATCTCGAACCAGCAATGTTATTCTTTGCTGAATCATAGAGGGGGCTCATTTTTTTGGTATGTTGATGATGAATTAAAAAGAATGACCAGCAGCTGGAGCTTTTAAAGGAGCAATGCAGATCAGATTCTGATGGGCAGCTGGCGTCGCACGTGGGCTTGGATCGAGGCTAATGCCATTTATTGGGGTGGCCATTCAACAGGGGCATCTCCGTAAACTCTTCTCAACAGAAAGTTTTTATCCCTCTCGCTTTGCATTCGCAGTGGGCCCAGCCCCGAAGGCGGTCAACAAACATGCTCAATACCTTTTCTAAACTGGTTCCCACATCTGATATTTTATATCTACCTTCTGTCCAATTTTGATCTACCAAGAGCTAAGCCATCTTCCTTGGCCGTACTGCAACTACAGCGTCATCAGTGACAGCAAAATGAAACTGCTTAACACACGTGAAGGACTTGAAAAGCAAATTCAGTGAGCAAATAACTATATGATTTGCTGTAGGAAATCCCAAAAATAAAATGAACAACAGGTACCATTTTGTGCACACGTGAGAAAGAGCAAAGATAGTATCTGCCACTTTCTGGTTTGAGGATTTCAAAGCATTTCAAATGTCCTTATCCGTTATATTTCACATCCAGCTTCCCTTCAAGCGGAGAGATATCGTAGCTATTCCCAGCAGGAAAGAACAAGGGCTATGGCATGCAAGGGCTAAAGCAAAGCACGCCGTGGCAGTTTGGTGTCACAGTCTGTGCTTCCAAGAAGTCCCAGCTGATTTAGAATGAGATGGCCCAGTTTAGTCCATCATACGCACTTAAACTGCTGGTAGAGATGGCCCAGAAGCAGCAGGTCAGGCTGTGGGGTGCACAGCTTCATCTGCTGACACGGCAGCAGCAGG